TCGAACTTGAAGGTTATAGATTCATCATTACAACTGTTCTATGTTTTGAAATTTTTTACTCTTTTTTTGCTGATAACAATATCTAAGAAAGCAAACTATGTATCATGAAGCCCGTATTACATTCTATTTTTATTGAGCATCTAGTAGCTACAGTATCATTTCAATAAGCAGTTATATATGTTACCAGAGTGCAGTACTTTAAAAAAAAATCCAGCCAAATACCTAGTGGTACAGTAGTGCTGCTAATGCAGTAGATTTACCAGGATCAGCTTATTCAGTATTGTGCCAGTGCCATATCAGTACCGAGATACTCGTATGGTAGTACTACCACTACGAGCTGTATCGTATCTTTGCATCAGAGCAGTGACGATGCTGGATTTTTTTTTATATTTTGGCCCTTTTCGAAAATTTATTTATAAATAGATCCATAGAAAAAACTTATTGCAGAAATAAACCCTTTTTTCAGCGTAAGTGACGACCTTAGCGCTAAAGTCTACTCCCTTCGTCCTAAAAAAAAGACAAACCCTGGGTTTACGTGTCCAACTTTGACTGTCCGTCTTATATGAAATTTTTTTATAATTCGTATTTTTATTGTTGTTCGATGATAAAATATGATTAATATTTTATGTGTGACTTGTCTTTTTATTTTTTTTTCATAATTTTTTTAAATAAGACAGACGGTCAAACATTGGACACGGAAAACAGGGTTTGTCTTTTTTTTTTTTTGACGAAGGGAGTATTGTCTTGGCGCCAACAATGCTAGTGCTGGACTGTTGACCCCCCTCAAATGCCACACACACACACACAAACATACACACAATAGCACGAGGTCCTTTGGCTGTAAAGAGTTTCGCACTAAGGACCTTCTGTAAGAAAAACATTTACATTTGAGTAAATATCATAAAACTACATATACTTTGCATGATCTATCACAAAACTATAGATTTCGTGTCTTCGTTTATCATAAAAGTACAGGTACTTTGTACAATAGTATATCATAAAATTGCATACATAATATTTAAAAACTTGTTTCACAAAACTACATGTTTAGAGTCTCCATTAAAACCTGTAGTTTTGTGATAATGGAGACACTAAATCTATAGTTTTGTGATAAGTGCAGACACTAAATGTGTAGTTGATAAACGAATACATTAAATCTATAGTTTTGTGAACCAAACTTTTAGATTTGTAGTTTTATGATAAATTGTGCAAAATACTTGTAGTTTTGTGAAGTTTACTATTTACATTTTATCTTTTTGGATTTTTTTTTTTGCAAACATGTTCTTGGCACCAATCTTTTTGGCGCTGACCCCATTCACAACAGCAACTTAGCTACTATGGGAGGCGAAGGTGTCAGCGCCAGTGTCATCGGCGTTAACCGTTAAGACATTGAACGTTGGCGCGAATAATCCTAGTGTAAAAAAAATGGTTCATTTCTGAAATAAATTTTTTTTTCCAGAAGCCTATTCATAAAATAAGTTATTTTTCAAAAAGAATCAAAACGTAGAAATCTAGAGTGACGATTTGTCTGTCAAAGTGTCAAGCACTGCAGCGACGTCTGCAGCGATGCTTTACATGCACAGTGCTGCTGCTACCGATCAACCGCCCCACCGATAGAGGACCAAACCGTCCGAGAGCCACAATTCCGCTCTCCACCGTCCTGGGCCACTGCAGCATTTGGCTCGTTGCAACGCACTACTTGTGGCTACGCGAAACGGGGGCAGCTGCCTCTGCTCACATGAGCCATGAGCCCAGGCACAAGATACAAGAATGTGATGTCAAGCCAAAGGGACCTATCTGGAGTAGCCCGGCGTGTGTCACAGCGTCGGTCAGATTAGGTCCCCGTTTTGCTACCGTCACGCAGCATAATTTCCTTCCCCCTGGCACAGTGACATCTCTAGAAAGTTCTGCCTGTGGTGATTAATTAAGTTTTATAGAAAAGTCAAGTGTCGCATCTAATTATATCGATATAAAATAAGAGGGGATACATACAGTACATCACATGTACACTATCTTTAGCATACTAACCTCAATATTTTTATTTTATTTATTTGTCCAACCCAGCCTTTATTTCATCTTTTTTTTTATTTTGAAGTTTGTGTAGACATTACTCCTTGCATGAGGGGTAGCTCATATTCTCTTTCCTCAGGCCATGTACAACACTCCACCGTGGATAGTGGTCTCGGGCCTCAAGTTAGGCGGGTGGGCAGATGTGGTAGGGAGGACTGTGGTGCAAGAGGAAGTTGCGTGACCTGCATAGGTCACAGTAAACCCAACCTGCCTCAGCTCGGAGCCACGGTCTAGGTCATGGGTTGGGTGAATCAATGGCCTCAGCAAGTAGCTTGGAGGAGGAGGGGGGGCTATCGGATCCCAGCAGCCGGCGAGCTCCTCCGCGCCGTCGGAGAGAGATCACCTCCTTGAAGCTCGTCGCCGTGCGCTGCCGCCATTACCAAGGTCATCGTCGTGTGCCGCCAACACCTCTGAGGAGTCGGTGAGTTGCCAGCATCCGGATCCGGTGAGCCCACGTCCGGATCCGGCGAGCTCATCCGCGCCGCCACCAAGACGCGGCTATGGACGTCGGTCGACGGCCGAAGAAGAGGACACGACGATGGCTAGGGATGGAGCCGCCCTCAATCCGCGGTGGCTGGGGAGGGAGCCGCCTCAATCCGCGGCGGCGGCGGCGGCGGCGGACTGGGATGCAGAGAAGAGGAGGCAACGCGAAAAAGGAGATGGTGGGAGGTTAACAATGGATCCATATGTAGATTAGGGGTATCCATATTTTTTTTTGTCGTTATAAGGACTAAAATTGTTAATCTTATAATAATAAATATTGTAAGGGCTGACATATAAATAACCAGGGGCCGAAACATAAAATATAGTACTCAATAGTGTTCTCCATTGTAGATTGTGTGACTTTCATATAGTCTTATCCTATTTGGCACGTTGAGACCGCTAGTACCAGTGGCCTCCATTGTATATTCTCTCACTTCTCTCTTCCACATCATCAATTAATTCTAAATGACGTTTTCAAAGACAACACATCAACTATTATAGTACTTGCTCTTACGCTGCCTTAACCACATCTTCCCATCTCGTCATGCACATCATCAGACCTGCCAAACTTAAGGACGTGATCTAACTTAAAACTGAATAATTGATACCTCCTTGATTTTCTCGTGATAAATCAAAAATATTAATCTTATGATATTAAACTATATGAATTTAGAGAAAGATTGGTCAAGCATTAAAATATTTGATTTAGGTTAAACCTAAACGACGAGTCGAAACGGATAGAGTAGATTATGGATAGAAAGAAAATGCTGTGAATTAAATATTTGTAAAAAGAAACTATCAAATAACTTCAAAAAAAATACCATAGACGATACTGATGTAAAAAAATTTCGGAGCAACCATATGTTCTGAATTCTGAAAGCGTGGCACAGATAATCCATACTTCTACTAGCTGTCTAGAACATGCTCTGACCAGAAAATTTCACAATCGAACCTATAGGAAATCTAGAGTATTTCAATTCTACATGAAAGAAAAAAAAATCTTATGGGAAGCACATGTGGCCCCTCTCATTTGATCCGAGCGTCCCCGATTCGCCATTGCACGGCAGCATTGAAGCCCAAGCTCTAGAACACACCCAAGCTCGAAGCAACCAACAATGTCGCGCGCCAACCATCTCTAATGGCAAGAAATTTACTCCAATCCGCCGTGCGGAGGCGTAGTACTGTACGTGGTAGGTGGATCTCGCACGCCTCCATCCTGCGAAAATCGCCGATACTGGGCTGGCGCCATCAAACGGGCACGCCGCCTCGCCGCGGCTGACAAGTGTGCCAAAAAGTTTCAGAGGCAGTAGCAGCGAGGATTTTGTGATGGGACAAATGGCGTCTCCTGAGTCCTGACATGGATCCAACTGCCAAATTGGAGGTGTTTAGACCAGTTTTAACTTTAGTCTTTATAGTTAGATACTAATTTAGAATATTAAATATAGATTACTTATAAAACTAATTAAATAAATGAAAGCTAATTTGCAAGATAAATTTTTTAAATCTAATTAATCCATAATTAGAGAATGTTTATTGTAGCATCACATAGGCTAATCATGGATTAATTAGGCTTAATAGATTCGTCTCACGAATTAGTCTAAGATTATGGATGTGTTTTATTAATAGTCTAGGTTTAATATTTATAATTAGTGTCCAAACATCCGATGTGATAGGGACTTAAAAGTTTTAGTCCCATCTAAACAGGGTCCATGAATTTGCAATTGAGTTTGTACTAGTTAACAATTGATTTGTCACTCCGTTTTAACACCGTGTTTAGTTCCAAAGTTTTTCTTTAAATTTTCAACTTTTCCATCACATCAAAACTTTCCTACACGCACAAACTTTCAACTTTTCCGTCACATCATTCCAATTTCAACCAAACTTTCAATTTTAGTGCGAACTAAGCACAACCTAAGTGGAGTGAGATTGATACAGAAAGGGCCTTCTGGAAAGCTGCCAAGGTAGGTGTAGCATGCTGGGTAAACAACTTTGATGAGTTCAGACATGAGAGTTAAGGTAAGTGTGAAAGGGTATGTAGCTTATTGGTTGCGCTAATCTTAGTACGGAGTAGTACCTAAAGTTCTGAGTTCAAATCTTTATATAAGCGAATTTCAGATTGGGTTATTTATGATAGGCTAAGTTCCTAATATAAAATAGCTGCATATATCCGATTGAATGTTAGTGGCCGGGTAACAAATACACTTCTCTAAAAAAAATTGAGAGTTAAGGTGAGTGAATTGGACTGTTTGTGGCTGCCAAGAAACGTCGCGTCGAGAGCATTTCACCATCATCGGCAATTCAGCCGTGAGGGTAAAGCAATAAAGATGCATTTGCACTTGTAATCTCGTCTCCTTACCTACTACTCGATCGACTCGTGCCGTAGTATTAATCTGCAAATTCGCTGTGTAGCTACGGTTTGCAGCTAAATTAAATGAGTAACGGCGGGATTGAGCTGAATTTGTGCCGAATTTGCAGCCGTGAATCTGCAAAATTTGCGCAAATTAAAAGGGAGGAGCCATATGTACAATGCTGAACATTTTAAAGCTACAAACTTTTACAACAGCCGATAAATAAAATTTTGATTTTTATTACTCCTTTGGATGCTCAGAAGGCCGAGACAACGCCGCCGGCTAGTCCCCTCCGCCTCGGGCTCGCCGCCGTTACGCCCCCGCCGGCGACGTGATTCCACAGCCGAACGACGCTTCCGCCGAGCGGCGCCGAGTCCCTGTACCGGCGAACCTCCGCCGCCGCCGTCGGGCTGAGAGGCAGAGACCTAACAATTTCCCACTCGAACGGCGTCGTCTCCGACGGCTCGTCGTCGTCGTCCTCCTCCTCTTCGAGCACCTCCTCGCCGTCGTCGTCGTCGTCGTCCATGTCGCAGCACCCGACGCAGCAGCTGTCGTGGAAGTACGCCGTGTACGTCTCCTTCGGCGACGGCGACGAGGCCGGCTCGGGCTGCCTCTCCGACGACGACCTCGCCTGCTCGGACGCCGCCGTCGCAGGAGACGACTCCGGTTCCAAACCATCCTCGCGAGAAGAAGCACCACCCATGGCGGCGACGACGGGCGCGGCGGCGCGCAGGCGCCAGATGCCGGCGGCGGCGGCGGCGGCCGCGGCGAGGACGGCGGCGAGGCAGGTCCACGCGGCGGCGCCAGCGGGGGCCGCGGCCTCCGGGAGGGAGTAGAGGCGGAACGCGACGGCCTCGAGCGGCTGCTCGAGGAGGTCCATCGGTCTCGCCGCCGGCGACGGCGTGGCTTTGCTTCTCGGAAAATCTTGGCGCGCGTGCTCTGCTCGCGTCGCGTCGCGTCGCGTGCTCTGCTTGGGAGAGGAAGAAGAAGGTGAAGTGTATTTAATGGCGGGGAGGAGGCGGCGGATGAGTGAATCTGGGCCGTTGGATGGAGGGGATCAGGGGGAAGAGGAAGAAGGTGCTGGGTATCAGCTGGAAGGAGATGGTAGATGCTGCCATGGATATGCCATGCCTAAACTTTTTTTTCCACATTTTGCCTTTTTTGTTTTAGTCTTTGTTTATTTTTAGGCCAGATAACTTTGTAGACGGACTCTAACCGTTGATTAAAATTCAACGGGAAAAATTTACCTATGATACAGAAAATTAAGGTGTTAGCTTGTTTCTCTCTCGTTAAGTTGACTTACGCTAATCTCTCTAGCAATCTATGACTTGGAATGATATATCTATAGGTGATCTTATTATTTTCGTGCCAAAATATTCAAGATTTTGTAGTAATTAATTGTTCTCCAATGCAAGTGCTTAAATTGGTGCTTATAAAAAAAAAATTCTTACGGTGTAAAATGAGATGTGCACACTGAACCATCGAAATTTTGACAATGTATGCTTAGCAAATGCTGATGTGTAAGACGTGTGTCCCGAATATTTGATTTAAGCACTTAGGAGGAAAAGTCAAGCACTAACACTGTATGCTTGGCTCCGTCCTTTGTATCGTTCTTCCTTGCTAAATAAGTTGAATGGCAATATGGCTGGATAATTTCTGATAATTATTTGAAGGTACATACGAATAAATTTAACATTATAAAGTTAATAGTGGATCTAGAACTCTTTTCTACAACGTTCATACATTAAAAGTCCTTTTAAAATAAAATCACATGGTTTAAAAGCTCAATAGGCCTATGCATTTATCCATTGTTCCATCCCACTATACTACTACTTACTAAGAACACAAGGTAACACTCGCAGATCGTGTAGAGAGGCTTATTCTAGACCGTGTTGATCCCTTCACAGAAGTAGTATAACATTTGTTCCTTAGACAATTCTGTGACAAAAATTGCTATGCATACGATCCAACCACCGACTTATGTACAACTAAATTTGATCTTCGATTATAAACAGCTATAGGATATATAAACATTATCTCATTTGATTGATCTATAGTTACATATCTATACTTGTACAACTGAATCGTACGTGTAGGAGCACTCTTACGTGACAAATGTCCTCCACAAAGACGAGGCGTTTGCTTTCGGCTACGACGAGGAGGCGACGATCCGTGCTGCAACTGCAAGATGAGGCGCACGCGAGGTTGCCGGTGATGGAGGTCGGTGACCGCTGTGTCTGGTAGTGCCCGAACAACTGGGCATGCACACTGTGACACACACAACTACTACTACCAGCTTAACGCCAGCAGATTGAACAGAAAAAAAGAAAAAGAAAAAGTTGCATCTTACCACAACGCCATCTGCAGGTTCAGGTTAATTAATTACGGCGAAAAAAGAAAGAACCGTAACTGCTTGAGCTCGTGCCGTGCACGATTCCAACAGTCGATACAGGACACCAGAGATGACGCTAATTAACCTCTCGTACTTATCCGACAGTAATCCAGCAACTAGAGGTGGCTCCACATAAAAAGAACAAAACTACTCCCTCCCTTCCATTATAAATACTACGATAAGTTTTCATACCCAATTTTGATCATCCGTCTTATTTGAATTTTTTTTATGATTAGTATTATTATTATTATTAGATAATAAAACATAAATAATATTTTATGCGTGACTTATGTTTTTAATTTTTTTTAAAAAAAATAAATAAGACGACCGATTAAAATTAGGCACGAAAAGTTATGGCTACATTTAAAATGGGAGGGAGGGGTATAAAACATTAGTAAATTAATCCAAGTAGAGAAAATCAGAGTGCCTTACGGCAAAATTCAGAGCTAGCAGCCCACCGATTTTGACTGTATATATACTCACAGAGTTACAGATACACTAGCTATACACATGCCGAGGGAGAAAAACGATCGAGAAGAGATTAACAGATGGATTAATTTCTCGGTATACTGTGATGGATCATACATGAGAGATTGTAGTTAAAAAAGGAGGAAGAAGAAGAAGAGAATCAGAGGCTCTGGAGGATCTTGAGGGTCTCGCCAATGTGCTTCTCGGGCTGGAACTGGTTGTTGTAGATGTACTGGACGACGCCGTTCTTGTCGAGCACGTACGTCTGCCTTCCCGGCAGCGTCCCGAACAGGTCAGCCGGCACACCCCACTCCTTCCTCACCTTGTTCCCCTCGTCGCTCAGCAGCGTGAACGGCAGCTTGTACTTCTTCTTGAACTCCTACACATCCATCAATAACTTCCATCGCATTATTATCACCGGTACAACCGATCTTGTCATCTTGATCATCGCTAATTATTTACAGAACTATATTGCCAGTTATTAAAAGATGATATAATCTGTATCTCAAAATATAAATATTTTCTAGCTATGAATCTTAACAAAATGCTTATATTTTAAAACGGGAGAAGTAGTTTATATATATATATATATATATATGTGTGTGTGTGATTGATGAACGGTCTATGCATACAATATTTTCTTACTTTTTAAACTTTTCAACTTTTTAATTTTAAAACTAAACCCTTTCAAAACTTATTTACAAAATCTAAATCTTTGGCCACGTTAGTCGGATTAACGTGGCAAAATAATACTGTCACATTGGTCTATCTAGCGCGACATTGTTATTTGGTCACGCCGGTCTAGCTGGTGTGGCAGCGTTATTTGGCCACGCCACTCACTAGCATGGCAGGACAAAACTGTCACGTCCGTAATGTGTGTCGTGTAAGTATTGTTTTGTCCCGTTTGACAGGCTGGTGTGGCTAAAAGTTTTAGATTTTGGAAATAAGTTTTTGAAGGATCTATTTTTAAAACTAAAAAATAAAAGTTAAAAAAAATCATACGTTGATTATACTATTGGTAGAAGCCATTGTAAAAGGAAACTATTTCGATTTTAAGAGAGTACGTCAGTATAAAAACTATCCAAATGGTTATGATAAATTCTAGAAGAATTTAGCAACACTTATACAACATTGACAACGAGATATAAAAAACGAAAAATTCAAAATATGAATAGTAGCTATTGTGCACATCTAAACTTTTTTTCTTAATCTAATGGTCAAATTTAAACTTCATTTTAAATGAATCGATAAATGTCACTATTCTATAAACTATCTTCTTTTTTTAATTTTTCACAACATTTTGTATTGGATTGTTTTTAAGAAAAAAGTTGCACGAAAGGAAATTCTATCGAGGGATTAGAATTCACTCAAGTGTATAATAAGACTATAAGTGCAGAGAAAGAGAAAGGGTGTAGTGACCTTGTGGGAGGCGGCGTCGTCGCCGCTGATGCCGATGACCTCGGCGCCGGCCTTCTTGAACTTCTCGTAGGAGTCGCGGAAGGCGCAGGCCTGCTTGGTGCATCCGGGGGTCTCGTCGGCGGGGTAGAAGTACACCACCACCGGCCTCCCCTTGAACTTGGACAGCGACACCGCCCTCCCGTCCTGGTCCCTCAGCGTGAAGTTGGGCGCCGCGCTGCCCTTGCTCACCTGCACCGACGAATCGTCATCAGCCGCCCGCGCCACGCGCGCTGCTGCTGGGCTCAGCTGCTGCAGCAGCAGCCACGCGGCGGCGTGCATCATCGTGCTCCTGCGACTGCGACAGGAGGAGGGGTAATTGTTCGTCGTCGTCACCTTGCCGCAGACGATCCTGTTCCTCCCCGTCGTCGACGGCAGTGCTGCGCGCGCCGGCGTTGGCGTTGTTGTCGCGCTGAGGGCGCCGCGGCGGAAGGCGGCGGTGGAGGGCGTGCAGAGGAGCGGCCGCGGCCGCGGCGGCGACGAGCGCTGGCGCGGGGGCAGGAGCAGGGACGGCCTGCAGGCGGTGGAGACCGCGAATGCCATCGCCGGAGCGCGGTGGGAGATTCACGGCGAGGATGCGTGGCCTGCAGCTGCGGCTGTTCGTCGGGTTTGGGTGTGTGTGTTTGGTTGGTGGTTTGGGGATATCAGGATGAGGTAGGAGAAGGGGGGGTTTTGTGCTTACGTGGCACGCCTTGCTGCCCCTTGCTGCTGATAGTGAGCTCTTGGTTTTTCTGCAATCTACCTCAGTATCACTTTAAGTAATAGCAACGTAGTATGATATAACGTTGCACGATATAAACACGTGTATAAATATATACTTTTAGGATCGCTATTTTTCAGCGAAATCTTAGTCACATCGTTTGATGGTTAAAGAGTCATCTTTAAGCTCGGATGGGTAGGAGAGAGAGAGGAGGGGGTAACTCACCGGCAACGTAACATTTCGACACAACGATAACGTCGGAACCTCGACAGAGGGTATAGGGTTTTGGAATTGGGAGGTGATGGAGGGGTTAGACAGGGTGGAAGGACGATGAGGGCAACTTTAATGAGATAGCCAGCGATGTGAAGTACCAATGTTGAGCGACGAACACATGTAAGCAACGGCGATAGGGGCAGGTGACAATGCGAAGCAACACAACTATAAGAGGTGTGAGCGGGTTAGGAGCAAGGGTGTCAGATCTAGAGCAGTTAGCATGTAGGAACAACAACGGCGTCTCAACACGAGTTGCTGGAGATGGGAAAGATGGGTAGGACATAGGACATCTCACTACCACTTGGGACTTTGAGAGGAGTGAGGGATGGGGGGGAATGGAGTGGGGGTGGAGGAAGAGGCCGATCAAGCATGGATCGCCGACGCCATTGGCATCATTGGTGAGGCGGAACGACGCTCAAGGATGGGAGGCTGTGTCAATGGGTGGGGATGTTAGCGTGAATACGCATTGTGTGGGGAGAAGAATAAGGAGAGGGGACAAGGAAGAATGATAATGTTTATGTGTTACACAAATCTCCGCGTGATCTAGATCATCCAAAAGCAGCTGGAATTTATCGGTGTTTTTAGCAGAGTAAAAATTGTATAGTCTTCTTTTCTTCTTTCATTATACATGAACCTAGCCCTTTCCTTGAACTAAAAACTTTAGGCCCCTACTGTTTGGATCCAGGGACTAAAGGCACGTGGACCGAGGGAGAAAGAAGAGAGTGGCTGCTACTTTAGTCCCTATAAGTAACTTCAAAAGAGACTAATGGATTTTAGTCCCAATATGCACTTTTAGTCCCTTTTAGTCACCCCTGTTTAGATTCTTAAGGAGTAAAAGGGACTAAAATGGAGGGACTAATGGATTAGTCCCATGAATCAAATAGGGCCCTAGTAAAATCCGTAATGAAAGCATATCCATATATTTTAAGATTTAAATCTGATGTCATGATTTATACATTGTCAAATGGAGTCATACATTTGTGGCTCTACCACAACACTTTTAAGTATTTCCCTATGTATAGAAAGTTTTAAGTGCAAGAACACAAACATATTCATTATCTGACAAAAACACACACACACACAAAACATGATACATATTACTACCATGGTTCATAAGGTGCTCTCAGCAAGTGGTTTCTAAAAGCTCCTTAGTCAGTTCATATAGTCATACATGTTTATTTGCATTTATCTACTAATAAATCAATGTAATCTGAAAGAATTCCTCTTCATGTTCGGCAAACAAAGGATCAGCACCGATTATCCCTGTTCACTGCATCACCAATGGCCAGCATCAGTACCCTCTGGACTTGAACGATGAGAACGAGAAGAACGAACGATGTGCTGCAACGACATAGCAAAGGGAGCACAATTAAGCAGAGTAGAATGAAAGCAAAAAGAAAAAAATATTCAAAATTTAATTCAGTAAATGTCAGCAGGATTAACCTCGTGGGGATTTTGCCGATGAAATGAGCTCCTTCAGTAGTACAGGCCTTGCAGGAGAACAAGGCACACAGCTTTGCAAGGATCGAACTGCACATAACCATTTCTGTTACTGCATAAATTTACAGAATACAGTGGACAGATCAATCTTCTCCAACATGGTGATTTTTTTTTGTTGCATTTCTGATTAGTATGTATTCACTTCAATACTACTAAATCAAACTTCCTTTTGTTGAATATTTTATGGGAACACTTGTTATCTGATTTGATGAAAATTGTAACAATCCAGTTACTGAATTACCGTGTGCAGGGATGACATAGCTGTTGTCTGAATCATCTGAAGCAGCATCGGAGGAGCAGATTCTCTGCCTGACGCCGGAATCGCCTGACGGCCATCCATGGCCGACGCCGGAATCATCCGCCGGCGGAGCCACGGCGGCGGCGGCGTTCTTCTTGCCGAAGGTCAGGAACCTCTTGAACCCCGCCACCGCCTCCATCGGCGACTGCACGGTGACCGGACAAGCAACGCTGCTGCTGCTGCTCGTCGTGGTGCTCGGGATCAGAAGGCTATTGATCTCGCCGGCGGCCGCCTCGTCTTCTTCTTCTTCCTCCTCCTCCTCCCGTTTCTTCCTCAGCATTGCGGCGTCGGCTTCGAGCAGCTGCTCGGTGGAGGGGCCGGTGCTCGACGGCGAGCCGTGCAGCGGCGAGTCGGTGGCGGAGGCGGCGAGCTCGAGCTCCGACCTGTGGGAGAAGGAGGAGTCCACGTTCGAGTAGAACGACTGATCGGAGCTCTGCGGCGAGTCATCTTCTCGGTCAGTCGCGGGTCTTTCTTTCGCCGTCGCTTCAGATGATGCCGCCATTGCTGTCTCCTCGAGATGTCTGGTTTCCTTCTCGGATTGATGAGGCGCCAGAGACTCTGGTTCTTCAGCATTTGAATCAGAAGCAGCCAATGGTTGAGGTTGAGAAGTGTTCATGGCTTCGTCGTCGATGTCCTTCGTGATGTAGACGTAGCTCGGCTCGGTGTCGGAGTCGCCAGTGATCTTCAAACTGCCAATCTCAACTGAAGATTGCGCCGTGTCATCATCATCATCTTCACCGATGCCTTCATCCAAGTTGAAATTCTTCGCTTCGACATCTGAGTTTCTGTCCGATGGTTTACGACGACCGTCGAGTTGTCTGGTGATCACCGGACGCGGCGAGGCGGCGGGCTGCCGCCCCTGCGCGGCGCCATTGCCCGATCTCCTGAGGCGAAACGCGGCGGCCGCCTTGATCTCGGCGAGGACGACCTGCTGCTGACTCTGACAGCTCCTCGCCGCGGGCGCCACGGCGTCGTCAGCGGTGGTGGTCGCCGCATGGACCGGCTCCGGCTGCTGCTTCGGCCTGTCCCCGGCGTCGCCGTCGTGGCTACGCCGCGGCGGCGGCGGCGCCCGCCTCGGGCTGTCCCTGACGGAGGACGCCGACTCCTTGAGCGAGCTCCTGCTCCGTGACAGCGCCCTCAGCCGCGGCGTCGCCGTGGCCGCCGCCGTCGACGCCGCCGCGGCGGACGGCACCCTGTTCTCCTTCCGTGGCGTGGACGGTGGCTCCGGCTGCGGCGGCGCTCGCCGTCGCGCGTCGGGGTTGGATGACGACAGCCTCGGGCTCGCCGCGGCGCCGGCCGGCGATGGCGTGGTGGTCCTGGGCGTCGTCCTGGGACGCGAGAGGGTCGCCTTCGTGGCCGAGCTGCTTCTTGGCGTGGCGGGAGAGGCGGCTGGTCTCGCCTCCAAGTTCCCGGGCTTTTGCTGCACATACAAGATGGGATCTGTTCATGCTGTTGTTTTTCATACTAACTGTTCAACATATTTTTTCTTACGGAAACTGTTGGACATATTGACTCTGCTCAAGGATATTTTTTTTGTTTTTAATAAAATCAAATTACTTGCTCACTTTTTTTGTTGTTCAGAAAAAAATGCCAAATTGAAATATTATGAATAACAGTGTTTGGTTGATTGCCTCACTCTACAATGCTACACTTTAGTTATGCAACGGTTTCTTAATCATGTGGTCCTTTCGCTACTGCAACAGTGTCAATGCCACACTTTCTTATTCTTAGGATCCACATGTCACACTTTTAAATTTATAGCTAAACATGTCACACTTATGACCAACTAATTTTTAACCACACTTTGTGTTGCTATTCCACAAATTTTTTAAGCTTGGATATGGCAAAGCTAAGTATGAACCAAACAATCCTTAAATCTCATTTATATCGTTTTTTATTTATAAAGAACAAGCATTCTCAGCAAAAACTATGATCAAAATTACCACGGTTTGGCCATTGGCATTTAGCTTGGGTTGGTTTCACTTTTCTACTTGTTTTTCAAAAATACAAGGACAGCTTGGCATGATAATGGAATGAAGAGGTACATTTGACGGTCTTTGTGGCACTTCTCTAAATACTCATTAATACTAGTATTATTTTTTTCTGAAAAAATGGGTTAATTAATAATGTTATATATGAATGGAACAACGAAATGTGATGAACATGCCATTCCTCTCACCTAAAAAAGGTCCTCTATACGATAGCTGAACTAAACTACGCCTAACAACGAATCACAAGAAAGGCACAAAAGTTGGACGCAACACAAGGATCAGGCGATCGATCAGCACGAAGCGCTAAACGTGACGCCCTGTTTCATCTCCAATAAAGCGTGAAATCAAATCACATACTTGTTTGTGTTCCTGATTACTACGAAGAAAATAATTTGCGTAAAATTTTCACTACGTTTAAAATTTGAATATGAAGATACGCGTCAGAATTTTTCTGAAGCTGAAAAGGTCCAACAAAAATGTCAATGCACACGAATGGGGGAAAAAAAAGCACGTACGCGAGAGTTATAATTACCTGTTTGCCATTGCCGGCGGCGAGGTCGCCGTCGCGGCGGCGGTCGACGTCGAGGCGCGCCCAGAGCGCCTTCATCTCGGCCTCCTTGCGCTCCATCCGCGCGCGCCACCCCTGCCTCAGCTTCTCGTCCCTCCTCCGCACGTACGCGTCGTACCTCCTCCCCTTCCCCACCGCCACCACCTCCACCGCGCCGCCGTCGCCGTCGCCGTCGTGACGATCGGCGGCGGCGGCGGAGGAGGAGGACCTCCTCTCGGCGACCCGCCGCTTGTACCCTTCGAACTGCCGCTCCAGCTCGGCGGCCTTCGCCCAGAGGTCGTCGTCGCCGCCGCCACCCCGCATGGCTCGACGCCGGCGAGCGATCGAGCGAGCGCGCGCGTCGTGGGCGGCGTCGCGTCGCGTCGCGGGCGGCGTCGTGTGCTCTCGCGGCGGGCGGTGTCACAGCTGTGTGTGTGGGGGGGGGGGGGGGGGGGGGGCTTCGCGGCGCGCGACTACGCGCGTCGCGTGTGTGTAGTGTAGCGAAGCGATCGATTCGAGGCGACGTGAGGGGGTCATTTGATTTGGAGTCGAGTCGCGGACGGGGTCGTGGTCGACTGGTCGTGGGGCGCACGGCCGGCGAGGCGCGGCGATGGCAGAGAAAGCGAGGTTTCGTTGGGCCGAGGTTTGATGGGCTGAAGTGGCTTTTCGTGTGAGGTTTTTTGCTGGGGAATAAGTTCACAATGACTCCCTGAAAAAGTGACCCGAATCTAACCCATGACCCTAGACTGCAAAACTGCATATCTCAACCCCCGATCTATTGAAACCGGAGCAATTTGACTCCCTTGGCGATTTTGGAGGACGGTTTCGTTGACGTGGCGGTGTTGACCTAATCTGTGGGGTTGACGTGGCGCTTAGGTGACATTTGAATTAAAAACAAATATGTGGTCAAACATTTTTTATGTGTGTGAATGACAAACGGGTCCCACATATATGTTTTTAATTCAAATGCCACCTAAGCGCCACGTCAAACCCACAGACTAGGGAAACACCGCCATGTCAGCAAAAACGCCCTCCAAAACCGTCAAGGGAGTCAAATTGCACTGGTTTGAGGTCGACATATCTGGTTTTGCGGTCTAGGATCGTGAATTAGATTTGGGTCATTTGAGGGAGTCAAAGTGGACTTATTCCTTTTGCTGGACCAGAGTGGCAGAAATGGGCTTCTTTCTTTCCGCACACAGGTATACAGTATACTGACAAAATTTCAGAAATAGGTTAAGAGTAAATTTCACAAAAAAAAAAACGTAACATGAAACTATAGGTTTTATGGTTTGTTTCAAGAAACCTGAGGTTTCCTTAAATTTACTGAAAAAAATTGTGCCCAAATTACAAGGTGGATCCGTGGATGCAAATATGCAATCTACTTCCATGTCCATAAATATAGGTATTTCTAGCGTATGATTTGGTTCATAAATATGAACATTCATTGTTCATAAAATAAGCCACCAAATAATAATATTCCACTTCTTAAAAATAATACATACGCTATTCCATTTCTAACTACCGAATAGAATAATACATACACTATTCCATTTCGGAGCAAAAAACCCGTGTTTCCTCCTTATACTGGAAGAAGATTACTCGGTTATGCTCTTTTGACGTTCACCCGCACTGAACAGAATAAGCACCACCCATAAGTATACTTTATACACCACACCAACGCAGTTTACTTTTAAAAAAAATCACATTTATAAATTGCAATGAATTGAAAAACGAAAGATTCTTGTGCAGACCTCCAGGTACATCAAATCGCAAAAATAAAGTGTACACATTCAGGGCGAAATCTAGAATATTTCATCTCATCGAACCAAGCTATTAGCCGAGCAAGTTAAGCAAAACTGAATACATTTTATTCCACTAGACGGACATTGGCATACTGGACAAGAAAAAAAAATGAAGAGAACATTTTTCTAGACCAGATACAAATTACAGACAAGCAATTCCTTGGCTCAAGCATTTCTATGGAACAGGAGATCTAACTTTTGCTTCTACATGACAATTCTAGAAATTCCCACATTTTCCATTATACAGAAGTAGGTAGAATCAATTGCAAATTATGCAAAACAACGTTATACAGAGCTCTCAATTTCAATGGAAGATGGGAGTGCCTAAAATGGAATTAATCTCAGATCCAGTTCATTGTAACGTTGCCGGCTGTCAAATCAACAGTTGCTTCACCCAAAGAAAAGACATGCAGAATAACTCAGAACTTCCTGAAAAGACATTTACTATTCTGGCCAAGATTTGTGTAACATGCAGCAAGTTAAGGCTTAAATGGTGCAAATACTACAACTGAATTGTGTCCACCAAATCCAAAGGAATTCGAGATACCTGTATAGCAACACAAAACAAATATGAGGAAGAGGAAATTGATGGCGGAGTAATACAGTAAACCACATGCATTGTTACTCACCAACATTCACTTCATGTTGCTTTTTTACATTAGGTACCGTGTCAAATTCAACAGCTGGCTCCGGGTTCTGTGATTAATAAGAATGTAGCCCTTAGTTTTTCTAGCCATAATGTGCCTCAGGTTCCCACTGGCAGGCTAGGTAAATTAGCAAGTGATGTTTTAAAATGGTACTTACAAACTGGTTTATGCTTGGATGGACCCATCCAGTGGTTATAGCTTTAACAGTTGCAATGGCTTCCAAGCCACCAGCCGCACCAAGGCAATGTCCAATCATGGACTGCAAACAGAAGATTGTATTAGGAAGGCAATGTATAGTCTCCTTGAATTTGGAGGTAAAACACATAAGGAACATAAAAGCACCTTGGTTGCATTTATTTTAATCTCTGATGGATCCTTGAAGACTTGCCTAATGGCGTTCACCTCTGCCAGATCACCAGCTAGGGTGGACGTTGCATGAGCATTTATGTAGTTGACCTGCAAAAAAAACGTTTGTGATTTAAATACACATGAAATTTCATCAAATTATTTGCCCAAACAAAACCATACAATTTGCAATAAATACACACAACAATTGATTAATTGTAAACAAAATACAGAATAGCAACCAGAGCTCATGGTGAAAACATCAATTCTAGAACATCAAACGGAAAACCTTCTTTTTCCAACAGGGCAAATATCGCTGGAATTGGTGTTAAAAATAGCTGGCATAACAAACACAAGAATCCTAACACCCCACAAAAAACCAAAGGACAGATTATAAATCATAGCTTATGTATCAGCTGCCAGATCAAAAAGGTATACAATTTTACAGATGACAGAACTAACACATAAGAGTGCTCTTTAAAGTTGTAATATTTGGATTACCTCCTCCGGTGCAACGCCAGCATCTGCAAGACTTTGCTTAATGCAAGACGAAACACCAAGGCCATCAGATCTCGGGTCAGTCATATGGTAAGCATCACAGTTCACGGCACCTCCTAAATACTCCGCAATTATTGGTGCGTCACGCTTCATTGCATGTTCTAGGCTCTCCATGACCTTTTTTTAATTTGGCAGAGCTAAATGATTAGAAGATGTTTAACAGAGTGAAAACCTGAAACTTGAATATGTTCACTAAACATACCAGTACTCCAGCTCCTTCACCCATGACAAAACCATCACGGTCTTGGTCCCAAGGTCTTGATGCTGTTTTGGGGTCATCGTTCCTCTGTGAAAGTGCTCTACACGCGACAAACCCACCGACACCAATCGGAATAATTGCGGCTTCAGTGCCACCAGCAATCATCACATCGGCTTCGCCTCTGCGAATATGGTTTGCTGCAGCATAGAAACAGTAGTTCGAGGTAGCACATGCAGTTGAGATGGAGTAGTTTGGACCCATGAAACCAATGTCCATTCCAAGAAGGGCAGATCCCATGTTTGTTATGGCATACGGAATGAAGAATGGAGTTATCTTTCTGTGCCCCTTCTCAATAAGATTCTGAACACCATCAGAGAACACTGTAAGACCACCCATACCGGTGCCCACAAGTACACCAGCCCGAGTCTTTTCAATCTGCAACGATGTAACATTTACTAATTAGCACCAGGTATCCTTTCACCCATAGTACAAGCAATGAAAAATTGATAGCAGAGTGAACTGATGAAGCTATCGCCAACTATATACAACCAACGAAACATGGGCCCAAAAGGGTGTGATTTGAAAATATTTCTACATCATAAAATGGTAAAATGCAAAAACAGTTTTTTTTTTCGTTTTGCTCCAGACAAAACCTCTATAGTGTTGAACTAATCTTTTTAAACTTGAAATGAATCCATCTGCATTGCATTGATACTTGACAGCAATTTAAAACAGATACGCCCCCTATAACCTTCCATGGCCAACAGAAATACATGGACCCTCAACAACCTTCTTTATGATAATTAAATAGAAATATACACACACCAGGATTGCAATAATGCCTACTCCACTTGTCGAGTCGATACTAGGACTCTCTACTATACTCACTCAGATACTATCACAGAAATGGGGAAAAAAATCCCACCACCATTTCATAAAAGAATCAGCTGCTGATCTGATCTATCAAAAGTGCTAAACCACAGGAGACACTTTCTACGAATCGGAATCTCGTACCTCCACTAGCTAAGAACTTTTAACAGGATGTGAGAACATGAGGAAGCAAAAGATACTAGTGCATTTGAAAAATACCTTGTCCATGGATTTGGAGCCGAGGGCGAGGCCGGCGGACTCGAGGGCCTTCTTGCCGCTGACGATGCAGTAGCGGAGGCAGTCGTCGAGGCGGCGGTCGTTCTTGCCGTCGATGTAGCCCTCGGAGGAGAAGCCCCGGATCTGGCCGGCGAAGCGGGTGGGGAAGTTGGAGGCGTCGAAGCGGTCGATGGGGCCAATCCCGCTCTCCCCGGCGAGGAGGCGGTCGTAGTAGGCGTCGACGTCGTTCCCGAACACGGACACCAGCCCCATCCCCGTGATCACCACCCTCTTCCTCGGATCCGTCTCCCTCCTCGGCGCCACCGCCGCCGCGGACGCGGACGCGCGCACGGAGACCGAGGCGCGACCGGCGGGAGGCACGCGCCCCCTCCGCGGGGGGGCGGCGGAGGCCGCGGCGAAGGTGGGGAGGAGGAGGCTCTGCATCGCGGCGGTGGCGGCGGCGGCGGCGGGAGGAGGTGGTGGCGATGGAAACGAGGCGGAGGTGGTGGCGATGGTGGAGGTCTGGGCTCGGCTGGCGTGCGTGTGGGTGTGTGGGGAGTATGTATGTATGGAGGGTGGGGGCGGGGGTGGGGCCCACAATTTGGGGGGGGAGGGTTGGGGTTTGGGGAGGCTTTGGAGGTAACGGAGGCGGAGCGGAGGGGGCCGTTGAGTTTTGCGAGAAATTGGGGCGGATTCTTCGATGCCTTGCGTTGTTCGGGTGGTGAATGAGGGGTTTACTAGTCAATTACTGGTGTTT